CCTAATCAGGCTTGGAAAGAGCACCCGGCCTCATCTCCAATCTCCACAGCAGAGGCCAGGGCTTCTTGTACAGCCAATGAAGAAAGGGTAGATCTCTCTCTCTCTCTCTCTCTCTCTCTCCCTCCCTCCCTCTCTCCCTCCCTTCCTCCCTCCCTCTCCCCCCTCTCTCTTCTTTCCTCTCTCTGTCCTGGTCCAACCCCCTGGGCTTGGGCATGCTAGTCCCTCTGACCTGAAAGTGAATCTTGCCCACTGCTGCCCTCCACTGACCAGAGGCAAAATTGCTTCAGTCTCTTGGGAATCTGACTTCCAGACACATGGCTCAACTCTAGCCACCCTGAGAAATCTGATCATCTAAAGTTAAATCCTTAATAAACAAAAAGCTCTTAAAAAGCAATAGAGTGAGTGGAACATCGTGGCACAGGCTTTAAATCCCAGCATTTGGGAAGCAGAGACAGGAAGATCTCTGGGAGTGCCAGGACTATACAGATGTACCCAAAGGAAAAACTGGAGACAGGCAATAGGCATAAACAGGTCATGTCACAGAAGAGAGCATCCAACAGCCAACCAGCCTGTGTTTGATTTCACTAATAAGTAAATGACAGAAAGAAAAAATAAGGACGTTCACCTGTCAGGTAATCCCTTTTAGAAAGGGTGTTGAGAAATGGGCACTTGCCCATTCTCGGTAGAGGTGAAAATAGGTGAAACTTTATAAATAGCAATATCAAACTTTTTAAATACATATTTTTAACCCACAAATTCCACACCTAAAAATTAATCTTAAAACTGCCAAAAAAAAAAAAAAAAAAAAAAAAAGGTTGGTGAGACAGCTTAGTGGGTAGTGAAGACACTACCTAGAAAGTCTGTAGACCTGAGTTTGATCCCGGGAACCCATGTAAAGGTGGAAGGCAAGAACTGATCCCACAAAGTTGTCCTCTAACCTCCACACATCACACACACACACGTACAGTAATAAGTAAATGAAAAAATAAATACATGTCAGAAGACCGGACTGGAGAAATGATACAGCAGTTTGGATCACCTATCGGTCTTACAGAGAACATGAGTATGATTACCAGCATCTACTTCAGGCGGCTCACAAATGCCAGCAAGTCCAGCTTCAGGTGATCTAATGCCTTCTCCTGGCCTCTGCTGGCACTGCACTCACATGCACATACCCACATAGAAACACATGCACATGCAGGTAATCAAATCCATAAAGAATCGTTCAGGGAAAACAATGACAAAAGACTCAGTGATCCGTGGAAAGAGGACATGCAGTGGGAGGAGAAGGGTGGGATAGGGGGATGAGGTGGGAGGGATTGGAGAGGAGGGGTTGATATGACGCAAATACATCGTGTGCATGTATGCAATTCTCAATGAAGTTTTTAAATGCCAATGGAGGGCCAGTGGGATGGCTCCATGGATAAAAGAGCTTGTCATTAAGCCTGATGACTTGATTTTGATCCTCAAGGTCCATGTAGTTAAAAAAAGGAAACTGACTCTTGCAAGCTGTCCTTTGGCTTCCACATTTGCTTGTGAATCATGCGCACACACACGCGCACACGCGCGCGCGCGCACACACACCAAGTAAAAAATATTTTTTAAGATTTTTTTTTTAGTGAAAAAAGAGAAGCACTTAAAGATGTTCCTTGTGACAGGGTTGAAAGTACATCTTACACGAGAAAATAGAAGCCACTCATCATAACGCTGCTAGCCAGATGTGGTGGTGCACACCTGCAATCCCAGCAGTTGGAAGGCTGAGACAGGAGGGTCACCAATTCAAGGCCAATCTGAACTACACAGAGAGACACTCAAAATAATAAGAAGACTCTTGAGGCCAGTAGTGGTGGCACACGCCTTTAATCCCAGCACTCGGGAGGCAGAGGCAGGTGGATCTCTGTGAGTTCAAGGCCTGCCTAGTCCACAGAACGAGTTTCAGGGTAGCTAGGGCTACACAGAGAGAACCTGTCTTGAAATATCCAACCAACCAAGTGCTTTTAACTTCTGAGCCCCTGTTATTTTTTTTTCATCATTTTACTTAATGTATCTGTTTAATATTAAAATTGAGTTTCTTGATAGCCAGGGCTACACTGTGAAACCATGTCTTGAAAAAAAAAAGTGAGTTCTTTTAGGTAACATATACCTGGGCCCCATTTAAAACAAAACAAAACATTATTCCATCTGAATTTCTCTGCTTTTAGATTGGAATGTTTAGGCCTTTTGCATTTAATGTAATTTCACTCTTTTGTTGCTACTTATCTTCTAAAGATCTATTTACTTGTTTGTATGTCTGTGTAAGTGCATGCATATATCTGTGCAGAGTCGAGTGTGCCTGTGCACATGCACAAAGGCCAGAAGAGAGCACTGAACACTTTCAATCCTCCACCTCTGACTCAGGTCTTGGCTTGCATTGTCCTGGCTGGGCTGGAAGCCAGTAAGCCCCAGTGACCTTTCTGTCTCTGTCCCACTTGGAACTGGGGGTCTCAGGCCTGTGCAGGATGTCCCACTTCAAACTCTAGTTCTCGTGATGGTGCAGCAAGCTCTCTTAACCACAAGCACAACAAACATATCTCTGCCCCTTCCCTTGTCCTTTGCTCCCCCTTTTTTCTTTTTCTGCCTTATTTGCATTTTCTTTAATAATATTTTATGTTAATTGTTGGCTTAATAGTTGTCAGTATTGCAGGTGCCATATTGTTGCATGTATGTTTTTCTGCCACTGGTCTGGTCCCGGCGGTCCCAAATAACACACCGAGACTCTGTATTTGATATAATGCTGTTGGCCAGTTACTTGTTTCTTACAGGCTAGCTCTGTCTTAATTATTAACCCGTTTCTATTAATCTAAGTATTTCCACATGGTCTCATCTTACTGGAGAGGGGCTGGCATTGTACTCTCCCCGTCTCTACATGCTGACTCCTCCTTACTACTTCCGCTCTCCTCTTTGTCTCCTAGTCCTGCCTATCTTGCTTTCCTATGGCCAACAGTGCTTTATTCATTAACCAGTATGAGAAACATATTTACAGAATGACATCTCCCATCATTCTAGAAGTTGCTTTATGTACACAGTGTACACATTAGCATCACAGTGATAACATACCACTCATCAGGAGTATACAAACTGGTGTGGTGGGGGGGGAGGCTGCTCTTCCAGAGGACTCAGGTTCAATTCCAAGTACCCACATAATGGTTCAAAATTGTTTGTAACTCCAGTGCCAGGGCATCCGATGCCCTTTTCTGGCTTCTGTGGATACAAGGTAAACACATGGTATATATACATGGTACACACACACACACACACACACACACACACACACACACACACACACGAGCAGACACACACCTAAACATAAAATAAATGAAAAGAGTGTAAGAACTCATGACAGTATGTCCCACCGTGCCCCTCTGGCTTCTAAGCTGCTGTCATATATCTTATCCCTCCTTTTAACGCTACAGTGATCAAGCGTTATCTTCACTTTGACTAGTTCATAGTATATTAAGGAGATTTAAGAAGCATTGGAGCCGTTCTATTTTTCCCACATAGTTATTCCTTCCGTTTGTTCTTTATTTCTTTATGTGAATCCAGTTTCCCACCTTCTCTTGTTTGAATAACTTCCTTTAATGTTTCCTGTAGGGAAGTATTTTCACACAGAGACAAAAGTAATAATATAAATAAAATTTAAAGACAAGTAGAATTTTCCTCCTCTATTTATGTTTTTTATAGGATGCTAAACATTGTAAATTTCATTAACCTTCTTGGGTATGGAATATCTTTTATGCTATGAACTTTAGCTTTATTCTAAATGGGGCTAAGTCACTTAGGAATAACTTGATCCCTCCTGTCTCCTAACATGTTTGCCAGGAGCCGCATTTAGATGAGAGTTAATTTCTGCACTGCTGGGGCCCAAGAATTCTGCGACTTTCTGCTCTTGTCGGTAGGTACAGCGAGCACAGCAGGCATGGTGGGCATGTGGGCATGGCGGGCACAGCGGGCAAGGTGGGTACGCTGGGCACGACACTATCCTCTGCTGTAGGTGAACTCAGCCATCAGCACTATGAAGCCTGCTCCTTTCTGATACTCTGTGCTACAGACTCCAGTTTCCCTGGCCTCTTTGTCTCCCCAGCCCTGCCTCCTCATCTCAGGAAGACATCCAAGGTCCAGCATGGGCTCCTGGGACTGCCCTGTGCCTGGAGACTTTATCTAGGTCATCAGCAGGTTCAGGGGGTGAATCTCGTCTGGTTTGTTTCTCTTCCCTCGGCTACCACTACCTTTTGCTCCCAAGTGTCCAGGAATCATCATCTCACATATTTTATCCAGCTTAGTTGTTCCAGGTGGGGACATAAATCTACTTCCTGTTATTTCATCTTGGCAGGAAAATAAGTCTTCCCTTTGTGAGGTTAGTCCCTTTATACTACCACTCATCCTTCATAAATTATTTGAGCAAATGTTTAAAATATTACATTTAGATGAAAACCTGAGCTTCACTTTTTAGCAAGCTATGGATAAACATTCAATCAGTGTATAGCTGACAGTTTCTTTGTCTTACTTAAAAGGCCTGAAGGCTGAGTGTAGGGTTTTAATTGTCCTCTGGCCACGTCAAAGCTACTAGAACACTAGCATCTTTTGTTGCTGCTAAGAAATTGTATTTGGACAGAATATTGCTTATTTGTGGGAGTTTCCTTTCTGTAGGCATTCAACACTTTCCCCTTTATCTTTATTGCCTTGTAATTTCTCTCCAACATGTCTAGGAATGGAACTTTTATCCTACTCAGAATTTGGTATGTCTTTTCATTAGGGACTCCCTTGTCTTTGCTTACTTATCTTTCTTCAAATGCTGCCCTGCTCTATGTATTCCTTCCAAAGCTACCAATCTACTGGTCTTATGTAATTATAGCTTTTTGTCTTCTCATCCATTACTTCTAATTCTCTTTTCGTTTCCTATCCCTTTGCAATATTAGCTACTATTCAGGGAACTTTTTTTTTTTTAAGGTTCATCTTTTTATTGGACATGTTATCAAGAGGCTTAGTCAAAAAGACCAAAACCCATCTCATCATCAGACTCCTCAGATTCTTCCTTCTTTGCTTCCACTTCCACTTTCTTCCCCTCTATCGCGGTAAATAAGGATCAGGATAAACAAATAGGCCAAATAGATGTTTATTCAGGGAGAAATAACTTACAACCTAGACAGATGAACACCAGGAAATTCAGCCCGATCCTCTCCTGTCCGAGTCACGCCAGAAAAAAAGCGCCTTTCCTGGCCCCCTCCGACCTCCTTCCACAGGTCACTTCCGCCCATGGCTCCACCCCCCAATGGGTGTGGTCAGTGCCAGAGAAGGACTATCTCACTACAATTCCCCTTTTAGTCTAAAGAAAAGATTTAGGCTTAATACAAAACTATATATAAAACAGTGAATAACAAGTGTGCTCTAAGAAAAGGAAAATCGAGAACAAAATGACCTACATATCTAGTCCTAGGGTGAGGGCATAATGGAGTTTACAATAGAGTTGTCCTAAGCTGGAAAACGTAAGTCTAGTACCTAATATATCTAACTAGGAAGAGAGAATAACAGTTGTGATAGTTTAATCTTCAACCTCATCAAGACCTGAGAAGGAAATTAACAATACTAGAGTAGACAGGAAATGCGGATGGACAACTTCCAAAAGGTGCAGCAAGGACAGAAACAGCAAGCCACCTGAACAGTCACCCTAGGTCTCACAGCGACGTTGGTACACCCAGATTTGGCTAAGGCCAAGAGAACTTGACAGACCACAACAACAGCAGGGAAATAGAATGGCTGTCTTACCCTGACTTGGCAAGGTCAAGCAGTCTTCTATATTTGTCTCCTGCAAGCACATAGGACTGCATGTCCAAATCAGTGGTCAAGATGGGGGCAATTCTATGCCCAACAGGCCATTAGCTGAGGCGAGATTGAACTCCAGCAGGAGCAACAACAGTGTCCAACATATTTTCGGGAAAGTGCACGGTGCTGTCAGGAGCAACAGTGTCTCATCTCAATGGAGTACTAATATTAAAACATTTAAATGCCATGTTCTGCATGTCTATGAAGTGATTGAAGATTAAGCATCTATATCTGACTAATCTCATAGGTACAGGAAATGTGAGTGAAGATAATCTGTAATACTCGGGAACTTAGCTAAAAAGACTGATTAAAACTTTCCTGAGTAAAGCAGGAACAAATACTTAAACAATATAACTATTTACATATACCTACATGTAAATCCCTAAAATAGAGGTAGAGTATAAGTGTCAAGACAAGAGGTAGAACTATAAAGGGCAGCAAGATAAATATCCCAAATTGTATCAATATACAAAATGTCTTGAATACAGGAAAAGTATTCATACATAGAATATGGTAAAAAATAATGTGCATAAAATATTATAAGTGGAAACATTTAACACAATATAACAAAATATAAACTTAATTTTACATAGCTTACCACATAGGAATACATAACAATGTAAGCTGTAAAATACTATCTCATTCATACTCAAATTCTCAAGGAAATAGGCTAATCTACTTATATCCCATCTAAACCATACCTTTACCCACCATTCCCTATTCCTGTCTAAAAGATAAACCCGAGTGTAAGCATCACCCAATCCCAAATAACTAAAACCAACCCAAAGACGATGACTATTATCCCAAAATTCCAAGGGTAGGGAAAGGGGGCGTAGTCATATTAAGATTACTTCCTGCTGAAATGGGACGATGATTGCTCCAATGGATCCTGTAGGAAGAAAATTTTTAGCAACCAAATTTCTCAACAGAACTGGCTGTGACATATGTAGTTAGTCACTGTGTGGCAGAAAATTCTTGACTGTAGTTCTATTTGAAACTGGCCAGGGTGTAATAAAAAGGTGCACCATTACAGCTAGCTAGTCATGAGTTGTCTCGAGCAAAACAGTCTCAAACCGGTTTTAGGGTGATGTTTGTAGTTCCGATGCATCAGGTTGAGTCAAGTGGAAATGATGATGTGGGGCCCCATCTTCTTTCCGGAAAGTTCAAAGACTGCTGTTAGGAATCGTTATTATTCCTTGTGGAAAAGTTACACATCAATATTAAAGTAAAATTTTCAAGTTTTAAGGTATGCATTAGGGAAAGACAACAATAAGCATTAAAAGTATGTGAGAAAATTAGGATTTCAGAGAGAAAATTGCATAAGATATGAGTCCCCAGATTTTGTTTTCTTCTGCCTTACACCAATTGGCTTCTTGATTTAAGGCAGAAACCATGAATTTAATCTTAACAACATGCTTGAATTTAGAGAAGGAAAGCCAAATCCAACTCCAAAGCCAGCATTGGTTTACAAAATTTGGGACTTCAGGAATACTAGATAGTAGAGAGAAATAGATTTCTATATAGAAATAGTTTACTACAATTAAATTTTTTTTTTTTACCATATATCAGATTCTGCTTCCTTAAGTGATTGTTTCTGAAGAGCTGTCTTCTCTTCTGTAGGCACCTACATGTTCATTGTCTTTTGGCTGTTTGATGATAGGTTTTCTCTGTTTTCCTGTAAAAACAAGAACAGAACACTTCCCCTACCTTTGAGAGGCCTCCGCACACCTCATAGGACCTAGTTTGTTGGGTGACTTGTCATTTCTCTTCATTAAGATGTTTCTCTTGTTCAACTCGGATCTTGATTAACTTAGATGGTATCCATAGTTTTTCTTCTCCTGTAGATACAAATGCAAAACCCCTACCCCAACGTAACACATATCCTGCTTTCCATTCTGAGGTCAGTACATCCTTGAAATACACTGGCTGATTTAGTTCAGAAGTTTTTTCTATTGTCCAGTGTCTTTCTGCAGCTGTTTTTCCTTTTTCATCAGCATTAAGAAAGTTTAATGTTAATAAAGCATTATGTAATCTGTGTTTGGGTGTTTTGGTTCCTCCTGCCTGTTTATGGAGCATTTCTTTTAAAGTACGATTGGATCTCTCAACCACTGCTTGTCCTGTAGGAATGTGTGGTATACCAGTTATGTGCTTTATCTTGTAATACTCAAAAAACTCTTTCAATTTGCTGGAGACATATGCTGGAGCATTGTCAGTTTTTATTTGTGCAGGTATGCCCATAATGGCCATTACCTCTAAAAGGTGCGTTATAACAGAATCAGCCTTTTCAGAGCTCAGAGCAGTAGCCCACTGAAACCCTGAAAATGTATCTATAGTGTGATGTACATATTTTAATTTTCCAAATTCTGCAAAATGAAACACATCCATTTGCCATATTTCATTCCTATTTATACCTTTAGGGTTACTGCCTGGTGGTAAAGGAGTTTGGTTATAGAATGAGCAAGTAGGACATTTCCTTACTATTTCCTTGGCTTGTTCCCAAGTGATAGAAAAATCCTTTTTTAAACCTTTACTGTTCACGTGGTGTTTCTTATGAAACTCTGAGGCTTCTAGCACACTACCTATCAATAAATGATCAATTTCATCATTGCCTTGTGCTAGAGGACCTGGCAGACCCGTATGGGGTCTGATGTGTGTTATATATATATAGGATGAGTCCTCTTTCTGATAGTATCTTGTAACTGTATAAACAATGAAGTTAATTCTGTATTGTCAGGAATAAATTCTGCAGTCTCAATGTGTAAAACGACTCTCTCTGCATATTGAGAGTCAGTAACTATATTGAGGGGTTCTTTAAAATCCATAAGTACCATGAGAATGGCATACAATTCTGCCTTTTGTACAGAATTGTAAGGGCTTTGAACCACTTTGCTAATATTTCCTGATTTATATCCTGCCTTACCTGATTTATTTACATCAGTGTAGAATGTATGAACTCCAGAAATAGGTGTTTTTCTTACAATGCGTGGAAGAATCCAAATCGTTTTCTTTATGAATTTGATTCTCTCAGTTTTGGGATAGTTGTTGCTAATTGTTCCCAAAAAGTTACTGCAAGCTCTCTGCCAATATTCGTTATCTTTCCATAAGGAAGAAATCTCCTCATTAGTTAAAGGTACTATAATTTCTGCTGGGTCCCTTCCTATTAGCTGACGAAGTCTTAATTTACCTTTTATAATCAAGTCAGAGATCTTTTCTATATATGTTTTCAGTTTTTTATTCTGTTTATGTGGTAGGAATATCCATTCTAATATGATATCTTCTCTCTGCATCAAAATCCCTGAAGGATATTCTCTAGATGGTAATATAACCAGAATACAGTCTAGGTTTGGATCCACATGGTCCACATGTGCTTCTAGTATCCTCTTTTCTACCCATTCTAATTCCTTCTCAGCTTCAGCTGATAGTATTCATGGACTATTCAAGTCCTTATCTCCTTTTAGGGCCATTTTCAAGTTTTTCAAATCATGCCCTTCTACTCCAATTATGGTTTGCAGTTGAGAAATCTCTCCTAGTAATTTTTGAAGATCATTAAGAGTCTGGTAGCGATCTCTTCTGATCTGTACTTTTTGTGGTCTAATTTTCTGTAGACCTATTTTATATCCTAAGTAGTTGATAGACTCTCCTTTTTGTATTTTTTCAGGTGCAATTTGTAATCCCCAGCGAGGTAAAACTTCCTTTACTTTCTCAAACATTTTTTCTAATATTTCTCCTTTAGAGTCAGCTAACAATATATCATCCATGTAATGATAGATTATGGATTGTGGAAACTGTTTACGAATTATTTCTAACGGTTTTTGTACGAAATATTGGCACAGGGTGGGGCTATTTAGCATTCCCTGTGGCAAAACCTTCCATTGATATCTCTTCACCGGTTGAGAATTATTATAATTAGGTACTGTGAAGGCAAATTTCTCTTTGTCTTGTTCTTGTAAAGGTATAGTGAAGAAGCAATCCTTTAAATCAATAACTATAATAGGCCATTCTTTGGGTATCAAAGAAGGCAAGGGCATTCCAGGCTGTAGAGAGCCCATTGGCTGGATAACTTTATTGATGGCTCTCAGGTCTGTAAGCATTCTCCATTTACCAGATTTCTTTTTTATCACAAATACAGGAGAATTCCAAGGGCTGGTTGATTCCTCAATATGTCCAGCATTTAGCTGTTCCTGAACCAGGCTTTCTAAAGCTTCTAACTTCTCAGAGGTCATAGGCCATTGTCCTACCCAGACAGGTTCCTCTGTTAGCCATTTTAAAGGTAGGGCTTTTGGTTCCTCTGTTTGTTCAGCATTTTTATTTTGTTTTTGTACTGCCTGGATATTTGTTCTCTGTCTTCTATAGTACTTAACAGTATTCTTTCCACAATCATGAGGTCGTCTATGGTTCCTGGAGGAATGTTATTCTGTGTATTCCATTGCTGTAATAGATCACGACCCCATAAATTTATCACTACATCAGCCACATATGGTCTCAACCTCCCTCTCTGTCCTTCTGGTCCTATACATTCAATCCATCTCGTGCTTTGTTTTACCTGAGACAGGGTTCCAATCCCTAAGAATTGAACATTTACCTCATGCAGGGGCCATCTTTGAGGCCAAGATTTATTAGATATGATAGTTACATCAGCTCCTGTGTCCAGGAGACCCTCAAACAGTCTATTATTCATCTTAACTGTCAATCTAGGCCTATGACTATTTATAGCAGTTTGCCAAAATATACGTTTTTCATTTCCTTCTGTCATGTTTGATTCAACTTCCGTCACTAGTTTGTCATCCAGAGCAGTATGAGTTTTTATAATAGGCACAGAATTTTCTAATTGTCCTGTGGGAGATTGTCTTCCACTGTGACTGGGAATGTTCGAACCACCTGTGACGTGGGGGCCTTCGAGAGGCCCCCCCCCAAGGAGTTTCCCAATGGTAAAGGGTTTCCTTGCTTGTCTCTGGTCGATCTACACTCATTTGTCCAGTGTCTGCCTTTGCCACACCTTCTACATAACCCAGGAGGCTGAGGCCTTCTGTTTGATTCATTCCTGGGGGTGTTATTTCTAGGGAAGCTTTGCCTACAATTTCTTTTTAGATGTCCTATCTTACCACAGTTATAACATCTGACATGTTGATATCTCTTCAAACCTTTGGGGATGGCTTCTCCTACCCAAGCTTCTAAGTCACCATAGTAAGGAACTCTGTTATCTTGATATCTTCTCTGACCTTTAGATATGGCTTCTCCTACCCATGCTTCAGTCTTATTGTCATTATACTCAATGTTGCCTGTATATAGGACCCATTCATCCAAGGGTGCTGATCGAATTTTTAAAGGCCAAAGCACCTGTTTGCATTGAGGATTCGCATTCGCATAAGCTAAAGATTCTATTAGTATTCGCCTAGCATCTATGTCTGCTATCTCTAATTGTACTGCCCTAGATAATCTTTCTAGAAAGATACTAAAACATTCTCTAGGTCCTTGCTTTATCTTGGTATAGGGTTCTATCCTCTCTCCTAATTCATGAACCTTATCCCAAGCATTCAAAGCTGCTGTACTGCATAGAGACAAGATGTGTTCATCATAGGCAGCTTGGGTTTCTGGGTCAGCATAGAGACCCTCACCAAGAATTTTATCTTGGGGAGCTTTATAACCTTTCTTTAAGCCCTGAAGTTCAAGAGCTTTTGCTTCCTCTCTCCATAAAGCCCTCCATTCTAATTGAGAGGAGCTTTCAAGGACAGCTGATATTAATTGATCCCAATCCTTAGGGGTTACCTTGTTATTCCATGCCCATGATTCTACTAATTGCTTCACATAAGGTGAGTGCATGCCATAAGAGACTACTGCTTCCTTTATACCTTTTAAATCTTTCATACGTATTGGTTCCCACTGATATGCAACGACACCTTTTGGATGTTTCTTCGTTGCTGGCTTTTCATGAATAGATACAGGGAAAGCTCCCCTGACCCTAAATGGTGTGGAAAATTTTAAATCTTTTTCATGCCCTGTTACCTGTAGTTCTTCTTCTGATGTATCAGACTGAAGGTCTTCTAAAGCCTGAAATCTATTCACCATTGTTTCTTTGAGTGTCTGAACTTCTTGAATCAAATAACTTTCTAGAGACTTCATTGCATCAGTCAGTTTCTTACTTTCTCCAACTACAAATGATTCCATGTTTTTAATCTTATCATCCTTAGATATTATCTGAATGGCGTGTAAACTGCCTTCCAGAAACAATGTTCTATCTGCTAGCTTGGCATTATCCTCAGACATGGAAGAGATTCTGTCATCTAGTCTTTCTATCTGATGTTCCAGTTTTTTAAACTTATTAGTAGCTTCCTCCTACCAGGAGCGAGCTGTTTCTGCTAGTTTGTTAATGCATTGCATTGTTTCTGTTCTGGTTATTGAGGTATCTGACATGAAACAAATTATACCTTTCAGCTCGCCAACGCCATCTTCAATATTCTGAACCTTTCTTTCTATACTTTCTATGCTTTGAATTCTATCATTTTCAATGTTTCGAATCTTTGTCTCTATGCTTTGAATTCTATCATTTTCAATGTTTCCAATCTTTGTCTCTATGCTTTGAATTCTATCATTTTCAATGTTTCGAATCCTTGTTACTAAGTCTCCTATGGTTTGTACAAGTTCCTTATTGTTTGCTGTAATCTCAAACCATTTCTTTAAGAATATCATGTTAATGATGAAACCCATTGCTATTACAAAATAAAAGTATATATTGGTCCAGTCATAAGTTTCTTCTGCTAAAATCCCTTCTACATATGAAGTAAAATAATTCCTAAAGTTCTGCATAGTAAAATTATCTGCCATAGTTATGGAACAATTTATCTCAGATTTTATATCAGCTTAAATTGCAAAGGATGTTACAATTACCTTAGGTGTAATTCTGCTGTCCTGGAACTTTTAGTTGTATATCTCAGCTTGTGGTAGCTACGCCTGGAGGTGTGTCACCAAATAGCGCCTAGCCGCCGAGGCTCGTCTGATCCCGGTTCTGCAACCTAGAAGTGTGCCGCCAAATATTGTCCGGCAGCAGACGATCCTTCTGATTCCGGTCCCTGTAAAATAGCTCTTAACAAACTATGACAAGCAGAATTTTCCCTCAGCTGGGGCAGCAGCGGTAGAGGGGGCAGGACCACCCACTGGTGCGGTTCCAGCTGCTGGAGCAGGTCCACCAGCCCCTACGTTGCAGATGAGGCTCCCAATGTTGACATTGGCCAAGGCCTTTGCAAACAGGCCAGGCCAGAAAGGTTCAACAATGACACCGGCTGCTTTAATGAAGGCATTGTTTTATCCTCCGTGACCGTGACCATCACCTCGTCATCGTGAAGGATGAGGGCGAAGTAGATACAGGCGAGCTCAGAGACAGAGGCCATGTTGCAGACTGCCGGGCATGGTGCTAGTAGCCAGATGAAGTGAGGGCCTCACCCCAACGCGGCCTTAGCTTCCTCGGAAGAACGGAGCACCTTGGCGGCAGCTGAGGAAAAGGCTTCAGGGAACTTTTTTAAGGCTTTATTTATTTTTATGTGCATGAGTGTTTTTGCCCCATATGTCTGTGCACCAGATATGTATGTTGTCTGTGTAAAGGGTATCAAATCCCCTGAAACCAAAGTTAAAGATATTGTTAGCCTTCATATAGATGCTGGGACTTGAACCCAAAGCCTCTGGAGAAGCAGCCAATGCTCTTAATCACAGAGCCATCTCTCCAGCCTCATTAGTAGACACTTAATTGCCAAGAACAGAAAATTCACTTGATTCTTATAGTAACATCATAAGTTGCTTGCTAGTTGATCTTCATTTTATAGATGAGAAAACCAAAACACAAAGAGATGTCAAAATAGACCTAAGCCTGGGGACACTCCACAGAATTTGTTCATTTATATGTACATGTTACAACAGTGGTTTAAAAAGAGGCAGCCATGAGGGTTGGTCTCTGTGGGTGTAAGGCCAGCCTAGTCTATAGGGTGAGTTCCAAGACAGCGAGAGCTGTATCACAGAGAAACCCTGTTTCAAAAGCCAAAAACAAAGAAGCAGCCATGAAATTTGGAGGGATCACGGCAGGGGTGAATATGGGAAGGGGTAGGCAGAAAGAAGAATGGGAAGTAATGTAATTTTATGTCTATTAAATAAAGCAATTGCATTAAAACTACATGAAATTTCCTTTTTTAAAAATTTCACCTAAAAGGGGCAGGAGAGATGGTTCATTGTTAAGAACACTGGTTGCTCTTCTAGAAGACCCAAGTTCAAGTACCAGCACACACGGTGGTCCACAACCATCTGTAACTCTAGTCCCAGGGGATCCAACACCGTCTTCTGGCACATGATCCACGGACATGGAATGCAGGCAAAACACTCATAAACATAAAAGATAACAAATTTAATTTAAAATATGCCTAAGACTTTACTACTAGTAAATGGCAGAGTTGACATTTGATGGCAGCTGTGGGCTTCAGAACCCATGTTCTGAGTTGATATTCTGGCCTGTCAATCATAAATCTACCTTTCTGCTTTTTCTGAGCTACTTTCAGGGTGCTACTAGAAATCAATATGAATTTACCAATTCTCTCTCCTTCAAAGCATTTACTGCATTTTGGGGAGACTTGGAATTTTTTCCTTTCACAGCTGGGGCTCAAACCTAGAGCTTTTCATATTATCTTGAATGTATATGTAAATTTTATTATTTAAAAACTTGCAAAAAAAAATCACACACTGAAATTAGCCAGACCCAAAGTTTATACATCTCAATGAATTTCTATACAGTTGGAATGGCCATTCTGAAGTTGTGGAGCTTAACAGTGGATTTTACACTTTCACTGTCGAATATATTTTTATGCATTTATTCACCACCAAAACTGAAAAATCCACAATAGAGTCAGAACTGGGAAAACAATTAGCTCTGCATCCTCTTTCAGAACTCATGTCCATTCAATTTTAAGAAGTTTATAGATACTATTTTTTTTTATTCTTTTCTAAATGAGCATACAATATCATAGCTCTCATTGGGGTGTTTTCTCCCTGCCCCTGCCCCTCCCATGCCCCTCCCCCTTCTCCTCTTCCATGCCCCTGCCCTGCCTGCTAGTACCCTTCTTCCTCCTATAGCTATTCTGCTGCTTTCGTGTTACATGTATTCTATTACCCCCTCCCTTAAGACCTCTTCCCACCCCCATAGTATTTTCTAGTTTCATGACATGAACCCATCTGCCAAGTGCATGTATATGTACACATAATTAAATTTCAATCTGGGACTCAAATGACAACAAATACCAGCAAGGACAATGAATTTTTACTCATTGCTGGTAGGAGTATGAACTGGTGTGGCCACTATGGAAAGTAGTATGGAAGTTTCTCAAAAAAATAAAAATAGAACTACTGTATGACCCAGCTACACCACCCCTGGGTCTGTACCCCAAGGACTCTAAATACCATCACAAAGAGGCTTGCGTGTCCATGCGTACTGCTGCACTGTTAATGGAACCAGCCTAGAGGCTCATCAACAGAGAAATGCACAAAGAAAATGTGATACTTGGTTCTTTCCTCAAAATCTCTTTCTGCCTTATGATTTCTAATTTTATTCCTTTTAAAATCTTGTCATTGTACCCACCTTGCGCATTCTCTCCTGCAAATAGTATATGAGATGCTGTAGTTCAGGACAGGTGTGGTGGCCCATGCCTTTAATCCCAGCACTCATTGACCATCTTGGTCTATATATCGAGTTTCAGGGCAGCATGAGGTACATAATAGAGAGATGCTGTCCCATAAAACAAACAAACAAAAACAAGCTGCTGTACTTCTTAATAACTTGCTTCACATACATAAGTCATCAGCTTATGCAAGACCTCCTGTCGTCTTTATTTCTCATCCCTGGCCCTCCCACTTGACACCTCAGCCTTATTCCTGTGGGTTCAGGCACAGGTGCTTGTTGCCAAGCCTAACAACCTGCATTCCATCCCCAGAGCCCACATGGTGAAGGTAGAAAATCAATTTGCATTAGTTGTCATCTGACCCCCACACATGCACCATGGAATGTGTGCCTCCCACACATGCAAAGTAGATAAAGAAAGGTAAAAACAGACTTCACATGGCACCCTAGCAATATGTATATATATATATATATATATATATATATATATATATATATATATATAATTTCTTTATTATTATATCACATATTAATATATAGGCATTCTTTCTATTTTCTTTCTTTTCATTTAAATTTGAAACAAGGTTGTTTTACATGTCAATCCCAGTTCCCTCACTCTCCTGTCCTCCCCTGCCACCCCCCAAACCCCAGCCCATTCCCTTTCTGCTCCCCAGGGAGGGTGAGGCCTTCCATGGGGAGTCTTCAAAGTCTGTCATATCGTTTGGGACAGGGCCTATCTTTCTATTTTAAATATCAGTTAAATTTTACATTTATATTTACATACATGTTGAACTCTTTCCATATAAGATGGCTTGGTCATCTTGTCTCTTTTTTAAATTTTTATTTGGTTATGAAATAAATGATGGTAGAGCCCCCTGGAAGTTGCAGAGAAGTCACACATATGGTCCCTAATCAGGACCCTGCCCTTAAAGAAAGGATTCTGAAGGCTCAAATGTGGATTGATGCTGTTACAAAACCTGTCAGTTTCCCTTTGGAACCCCCCCTCCCCGGGACTTCCTAATGCCTGGCGTGTCCACACTTAACCAAGGACACTGGGTATTACTGTGTAAGTACTCCCTTCCATGATCCTCAGACAGGCTGTTTCGCACTGAGTGTCTGCCTTTCTTTCTCTTACCACTTCCCAGTTCTCTCCCAGGATCACCCACTCCCTCGGAATGCTGGTTGTCTTGGAGTTGGCCTCGCATTTGTTAAGCTGAGTCAGCTTGAACTATGAGTGTCTTAAAAAGCAGATTCTGGACCAGTGAAATGGCTTAGCAGGTAAAGATGCTTGCCACCAAGCCTACAGCCTTGAGTTTGGTCCCCAGGACCCACACAGTGAAAGGGGAGAAGCAACTCCCACAGTTGCCCACCTCCACATGCAAGCCAAGGCACATGCGCACATGAACACAAATAATAAACATAATTTTACATTTTTAAAGTGGAGCTTGAGACATAGCTCAGCAGTTAAGAGCATTGACTGCTTTCCCAGAGGACCTGGGTTAGGTTCCCAGTATACATATAGTGGCTCACAACTGTCTGTAACTCCAGTTCCAGGGGATCCAAAACCTTCTCCTGGCCTCCAGAGGCACCTGGCATGCATGCAGTATGCAGATGTATATGAAGGCAACATTCCTATACGTATAGAATAAAGTAATTTTTGAAATGTTTTTAAAGCAGGTCCTTAGCATACATTCAAGAATTGAAGAAATTGCCAGCTGAAGGCAGCAGGACTCCCCTCACCGTGAGGTAGGATCCCCATCATAAGGACTCTTAGGTGGTTAACTGGGGCTAAGATACAAGCATGAGGAGATACAGTGGGTTACACATCTCTGCATACAACCCTTTGCCAGAGAGCAGTAGGCCCCTTCCCTTGACTGGAGGTCAGGCAGAGGCCTCACGTGACACTTGCTACCTCCTCTGTGTATAATAATAATAATAATAATAATAATAATAATAATAATAATGAGGCCCCAGTGAATAGTCACCAAGGGAAAGCTGAAGGACATGACTGGAAGTGGATGCTGATGGTGTTGAGCGGGAGAAGGGATGGAACACGGGGATGGAGAGGAGGACTGCCGACCTGGATTTCTGTCTTGGGCCTCAGCACCGGCCTCGGGATAGGAGAGTTGGGGCTGAAGTGGTCTCTGGAATATTGGGGTAAGACTTAGTGTGTACCAGGACACAGAAAGCCCAGCTCTAATTCAAGCTGAGACTGTAATTAAATTGATAAGTACAGATAACGCTATTAAGTTTGTAGCTGAAAAGGTAGAGTGCTCAGGTGGCCTGCAGAGATGGCTCAGGGGCTCAGAGCACTTACTGCTCATTCAGAGGACCTGAGTTCAGTTCCCAGGAGCCCAGGCAGGAAGCTCACAAGTGCCTGTAACTCCAGCTCCAGAGGATTCTGACACCCTACTCTGAACTCCATGAGTATCTGCACTACACACACACACACACACACACACACACACACACACACACACCACACCAGACACAAACACACACATATCCCACAAACACCACACACACATACACACACACACACATATACCACACACACCACACCACATACCAGATACACACAAACACACACCAGACACACTCACATATACCACACCACACACACACACCACACACACACACACATACCACACCACACACCAAACACACATACACACACCACATACACATATCGCACACCACACCACACACATACCAGGCACACACACACACACCCCA